AGGGACTTACTATTTATGAATGACTTTGATTAATTAAACTTGACAGATGGTTTCGGTACTTAACAGAAATGTAGCGGTCTTTTCGGAGCAGACCAATCTGGATTTGAATTCTAAAATATTCAGAACAAACTTGATTTCCATAAAAATCAGTTCTCAGGGAGGATTTATTTAAATACGAGGTTTAGCATTATCACTTTAATATTCAAAACTTCTTAAAGTAGCCGAATGCCTAATTCTTGTGGGAATACTACTAGATATGTATTTGACAGCATTTGAGGGCTCAGCGTTATCAAAACGAAAAACGTTTGCATTGTTTTAGATGGGGCAGCAGCTACAAATTTTGTGCTATGGATGATGTTTCTCACATGAGGTAAATTAAAGAAATAATTAGCTGTGAATGGATGCATTTATGTGTAATATTTTCAAGGAGGTCAATTGATTTTATTGTTGTTATACACTGATTCAATACTCTGGGAACATTACCAGATTCTTTCTTTCAGAATTCTCGACACCTTTAAATTTATTGCCTGAGAAAATTTTGGAGATTTAGATATTTAAAAGGTAGAATTCTATTCAAATAGAACTGGAAGCCGTTTATAACGAACACTTAAGTTAATATAACCATAGTTACGAGTTGTACAGAGAAAATTCTTATCTTGTTTTCAGATATCATTTCTTTGATAAAAAGATAAAATGGCTGTTTGAAAAGTAACTGAAGCAGAAAAAATGAATGTCTTTTGAAGCTCTAAGCTACATATTGGCGGATTAGATTGTAGAGACATTAGGTATTTCTGAAGCAGGAGAGATGAAAAATGAGGAATGCCCTCGCCGGGACTCGAACCACGGATCTCTCAAATTCGCGACGAGCGTGCTGACCACTACACCACGAAGCCATACTAAGAAAGCGGGAGAAATACCTTATAATATATTTTGCAGATCCATTTTACTAAGGAGAGCTTTGTGCTTTCTCCGAAATATTTCTGATCATTAGTTAATGCTGATTATTTATTCCCAGCCAATCAGCTATAGAAATGTCTTGAAATAAAATTAAACAATATAGTTTTCGAAAACCTTTCTGAATTTGTATAAACTGATTTTTCTTTTAATACCCGGTGATGATTTTTTTTATTCTTCTATTTCCAGTTAAAAAAAAAAGTAATTGAATAGATATTACAGCATTTATTATGTCACTGTATTTCAATGCGCTTCGGCTCCAACGGAACAACCTGAAATGCATATTTCATCGAGTCCACCCGGCACTAGGTGGCTCTCCATTTAGTTTCCGGGAAACTGCCATTCGGAACAAAAAATATCCTGTTGAATCACCTGAGGCGCTGGTTCATAATACAAAAGTAAGTGGAAAATGGCAAAAAAAATTTCTAGGTTGTTGCTCTAGTGCATATGACGTGATCTTCTGTGATGAAGTCTCTTTTTGACAGGACGGGAGTTTTTATTGATGAAAATTCATACTAACATTGGTTTATTTTTTGTAATTGTTGACGCGATTATTACGGTATCTATGATATTTTAGTTCCTGCCATTTGCTAATATCAGTCAAGGCTTTTGATCATTAAGTATTTTCAAACTCCTCCAAGAACTGTGAGAAACATTTAAATTTCCAAGTTCAATTTGCAGTTTTAGCCAAATACTTCACATACATGCGCACATTTCGGCCATGCTTTCAAAGTATGAATTGAAATAAGAAGGAATTGCAAATAATCTTTTGGAGAAATATACGTCGCGTTTGATTACAATTTGTTACATTCAGTAAAATGAACAAGGATTATTTGATCTTAGTTTGACTAAAAATTTTGGGTTAAATATGAAGTAATGCGTGTATATTTTAGAATAGAGTACACAGAGATCAAAGTACATGTTTTTGATGATTAAATCAGAGTAAGGATTTCTTTCAATATATATATAATGTAGAAATGTTGATGGCGTTATAGGAGCATGATCGAAGATCCATAAAGAAGAAACTTACCAGCCCAGAAAGATTTATATATCAATTTTTATTTTAATTGACATATTTGGTCACAAATAACTTCGCACATTAATCGTACTTATTCCAAAACATTTATATTCTTGTTAGCTTTGCGATGTGAAGAGAAGCAGCAAGAAGCGATATAACTAGGCCAAGAAGCAGAAGTGTCTCATCCAGTATGGAGGCTTAGTTCAACAGAAGAAAGTTCTTGGTTTAAAAATTTTTTACTTTGAGTTCCGAATTTGCTACGTCATCCATAATTATGTATAAAATGGAAAGGGCAATGTTCATATTAAAATCGAGAATTAAGGGGCTATAACAAAATTAAAATTAGTATTTTGATTTGCACACTTTTTTATGTTACACACATATATATATATATATATATTTCAGTTGCATTCGTCCTTGATAATAAATAATATCTTTCAAAATATTTTGATGAATTTAATTGAAGCAATTATAATTAATTTTTAAAACAAAGGTCTAATTATGAAATAAATTTGGAATTCTGAAAATCGATTTTAATTTCAGGGACAGGATCTGTTCCTGAAACTAAGGTCGAAATTCAGAATGACTGATCAGCGGTTTCGGCAAATACAATGAAAGAACAGTAGTCTATTAAATGCAGATGTTACTATGACTCAGAACTACAGCCAGCTCGATGACCATTCGAAAGACAAGCATTACTTCGGTATCCAACCAAAATAGAGCCCTTACTGTGGTAAGTTTGGCTTCTTCCCGCTTTTTTCAGTGAAGCGGGACACCAATTGAGAGCACACAGACCTATAGACTTTTTAGTAGGATAAAAGGAAACAGTCCACTAAGTTCAAATAGATGAAGAGGTTAAAAGGGCTTTCGATAGAGCAGGTTGAAAGGCACTTTCGACATATGCAGGGATCAAGATCGACTCTTTTTAAAATAGCATCCTTAGGATGAGCAGTTTGATTTATAAGATAATGTTCTTGGGCTTTTTTATCGCTTCTATTCTTATTAGACTGCTACTATTTTTATTACGATATTTGGCCTTAATGCATACACTTTTTCAAAACTGGTTTTGTTTTTAAATTTATTTGCGCTTTTATTCCAGTATACAAACAAAGTACATTTAGTCCAATTTTCGCCCCCTCTCACTTCTCGAACTTTATATATATACCCAGAAGAGAAACAGGTAGATTTTATGGATATTTTAATTTCTTAGTAGTTAGGTGAAAGAAAACTTGTCGAATTTTTTTGTGAGAGATTTCGCAGCTAGTGATTGCATTTAAAATTTTTTTGTATAAAATTCGGGGGTATTTTTAACTTTTATTAATTAAAACATCAAAGCAAAAGTTTTATGCTGGGGCTAAATGCTGAAAGTTTGGAAGGAAATAAAACATTAAAAAGTGGGAACAAATAAAATATAATATTGAATATTCTTTAATTGAAAGCAATATTTTAAAAGATGATATGTAATATTCGAAAATAGGTCTATAAAATCGGTAAGAATAATTGGATTTGAAATTTTATATCTGATTTTTCACAATATATGGCGAAAATTTGTATTGACTACGGGAAAAATAAAATTCCTTATTCATCGCTTTTAAGCTGAAAATTTAAATCAAGCAGTTTTACTTGGCCAGCCTCTAAGAAATTTAAGCGAATCATCGCGTTTAACAGTAATTAAAAGTAACTAAATTCAGAAACTTTAACCTTTTCATGACGATATGTTGCTAAACTGAAAATCCTTTGGAAACGGGTATAATGCCTGTATAATGAAATAAAAGCAGCAAGTTAAAATATTACTTAATCTCTTTAGCATAAAGATAATACGATATAAAATTCATAACCGATAGACTATAAGTTCATGAACCCGCAAAGTTATCTTTTAGTCTAACGCTGCCTCACATAGTAATTAAATCTAGAATATTTCACTGGGCTGAGTTCAAGAAAAATCTCTCAGCTTAGAAAGCAACTGGATCAGTAAAAATCACCATGTCTAACATAATTTTCAAGTTAGAGAATTAATGGAAATGAAGAATGAATAGGCAGTTAAACTGCAAAAGCTGTCGGCCAACTGATAGAAATTTTAAAAATTTGCCTTTATGATATTTAGAGATGGAAAACCTCGAGACTTTGTCTAAACATTTTGACTTCAGAATCAAACTTTAATATGGATAAGGCAAAGTAATATTATATAAGCCGCATTTTTAAAGGGGAGAAGGAGGCTTCTCCATTTTTAAAATTTGTAATATGATAGCAGAATGGAACAACTAGAATGAACCGAATTCTTTGCTTGCCGTAAAACACACAAGAGATACATGCCTATGAGGAAAGATGGCTTCATGGAGAACTTTATGAAAAAACTCATATACATTACTTTTAAAGGAGATCCTCGTTGAGCTGTTGATAATAGAATCCAAAGCCATTGTTTCATGTTCTTGAAAAAACTGAAACAAATCTCTAAAGAAGGAAGAAAATTCAAACGGACGTAAGCACTGTTAACATAAATGATTCATAGAGTAACGATATCGTTATTACCCAGAAGGAAACTTGAGAAATGTCAAAAGAAAAATGAAATGCTTCAGGTGCTTTTTTGCAAGGGAAAAAGTTGTTAAATTAGATTGACTGTTATACCTGTTGACAATAACGTAATAGCTAGTTCTCTAATAGAAAACTTATTTCTGTAGTAATATTTATCAATATTTCAGACGCATGATTATGTATACAATATGGGAAAACATGTAAAGGAAGAGAGAAATAATTGGAGTAACTAATTTCTACTACATCAAAATAGAAAAAAGAGCAAGATGCACCATAAGTGGGAAAATATTATTTGAAAGTTAATTGTCATGCAAACTTTTAATTGTTGCAACTGGTATGTATTCAACAAAACTGCCACACTTAGATTGAAAAAAATAATGAACAACAATTTACTTTAGAAACATCTCAAGTAAATTTATGGTAAGAATATCTTTGTTTCTCAAAGTGAAAACATATTACAAAAATTTACAGTACCCCAAACTCAGCGATAACTCACCAGATACCTGGACTCGATATGTATAACTGTATCGTCGAATATCCTGAATGAAGATGCTGTCAGGTAAGAACGCTCACGGCTTCAAAACAAACAGTATTCTGACCGTTTTCATTCAATAACCCATCCTTTTAATGCTCTTACAACCCGCCATGTGTGGTGACATAATAGTAACCACAATAGAATTTTTATTGCATCCGTGATAGCAGTAAATTTCAGCGCCATCTTGCGGCAAAAGCCAAAAAAACAAATACTATACGCAGTTGACTAGTTTCGGTTCCTGACTAAGATGAGTTTCAGTGTCAACTAATAAAGGTTAGCTGAGCATGTCTATGTTAAATTTAAATTGTAGGGGAGGGACGGAAGAGAAGGGGGATAGTTGTATTCGCACGACAGGGTAGCTTGCATTTGATCGCTTTTCATTTGCTTACAATGCTATCACTGGTATTTGAGAAAGAAGTTCAGTCCCACATCAATTATTTATTATGATATTTGAAATTTTTGAATAGTTTCGGTTTGAAAGTGTTTCACCCATGGCTAAAGTTTGTAGTAAAGTATAATAAAGTTCGAAGATGCGTAGTTAGAAATACGATTTAAAGTGTTTTGCTTGGCACAGTACACTGTGGAAAGATGATATATTTTTTTTAATGCTATATTTTTTGCAATAGCAATATTGAAAAGTGGTATTTTGCATGGCAGTGGATGCTATTATTTTATAATTAATTACAACGCAGTGTTAAAGAATTTAGCTATACTTAAATAATTCCATTAAGCCAAATTTCTGTAAATATAAAAGCAAAAGTGATTAATTAAAACTCACAACTTATTGGATTAAAAAAGCGTCAGGATTGCCCTAGAGTTTTAATGTTTTTGTATGTTCAGAATTAAAATTGTGCTCAATAAATATATACTGAATTTTATTTTTACATGAAACTTGTTACATTTTTCTGATCTAGCGAGGTTTGGGAGGGGGAGAGAATTTAGTTACCCTTTTACATGATTTATGTTGATTTTCCTCGATTCAAATGGTACCGGCATTTTAAAAATCGCTGTCTGAATTTCGTACTTAAGATATAATTCTAAGAAAAGGTTTTCAGAATCGACATTTGTAATGATGATGCTATCTGAGGTCAGAATTTTGAAGCAGTTTTGACTTTGTTGAAACACATATTCTGAGCACTAAATTTCACAAAATGAAAATTACACCAACGGAAAGAACCTTGAAACAATTTTACTTTATTCGGTTTTGCAGAATCGCCAAAAATTCCATTTTTCGTTTATTGATAACTTTACTTTATTTCGTTAATTTATATAAGTTGGGGAAACGCAAATTTGAACTAAAAAACCAAAATAGGATAAAAATGGTTTAATTAGTTCGAGTAGAACATATAAATCTGCGCGTTTTTTTTTTTTTTTTAATCGAAATTAACTGGAAGGCAGAAAACGTGACCACACTTCTTAAGTCCTATATTTAATAAAACTTTCATCACATATTGTTTCTTTGCGAGAGATCATTTGCATTTTCAGGGTATCCCCTAATGGGACCGCTTAAGATCCCCCTCTTGTATTTTCTTCCTCCTTTCTGCATGCCTTCGTTGATGTTACGGTAGCACAGTCGGCGGGTTTTCGAGAGGTCCAGGTTCGAGTCCCGGCGAGGGCATTGCTAATTTTTCATGTCTCATGCTTGAAAATAACCTAATGACTGTACACACGCTTTTCTCAAAGACGTCAAAAGGGGTTTTAGAAGTTTCTGATATAAGAAACATATTCAGAGTGCACTGGTATTTGGTTTTTTCGTAGCTAGAAAATCCAATATGCCCTCTCCGGAGTTCGAGCAGTTAGATGTTTCGATACTACCAGTATCTTAGCTGGACGTGTTACTAATTATACTACGAGAGCACGCACTGAGAAGGCGTTAATTCCTTATATTCTTCCACAAAGGGCGACAGGGGAGAGAGGAATAAGATCCAATCCAGATGGTGATAAATTATCCTCCACCACATTTTAGGTTTATGCCACAATAGAATTATTTAGAATTTTTAAAGCCTAGGAAAGCGAGAAATTAACTATGCCTTCTTCGGGATTCAAATGATTATTCGAAGATTTATTTGAGTTTATTTAGTGGAATGAATGCATGAAACTTGTCACAGAAGCTAGGAAAGCGATAAGGATCAATTTAAAATATAATTCATTATATAGTTTTATTTATTTAACTTAACGAGATAAGTCCAGCACTAGATTTCTTTTTTCCCATCTCATTTACTACGCATCTGACAGTTATTAAATTGGAAATATACTCTAAAGAGTGCTGACAACAAAATGTTTATCCTTGGTCTAGCAGAAAGATCAATAAAACTAGTAAGGGTGTAAAAAAAAAATCTCATTTTTTAAAGCAATACTTTACATTTGCAGTGATAACACATATTAAAATTGATCAATATACAGGATATTAAAAAAAAAAAAAAAAAAAAAAAAGGTTGCACAGCTAAATGCCTTTTGAAGGACGTTTGCAAGTTTATGGTTCCAACTTTAGAAATGAATCAAATAAGCTAAGCTTTTGGAATATGCTAGTTGCTGACGCCGTAATACCTTTTAGCAAATGTATCAAAATATACATTTTTATATCTATCTATCAGTGGAGAGAGTTACAGTTAACGTTATTTCCTAACTTGCTTTAAATCTTTCAGAAAAAAATTTTATTTTCTACATGCAAATTCGATTTTGGAAAATTGAGATTATAGGAAAGAAAGACGAGTAGAAACTGATTAAGAACGGCCTAAAAATTGAACTTCATTAAATGCAATTTTGTATTTATCATCATTTGTAAAAATGGTAATTTGAAGCAAATGCTCCACAGTAGTTTTTATGTGTGTAATGTAAATGATCTCATTGTAGATGTTGAAATTCCCTTTTGGAAACGTAACATCCTTACGTTTTTAGCAGATTTATGCCCTCAGAATTTTATTATTGAATTTATAAATTAAGTAATGTGTTTGTAAGATATATTTAAATTTTTATAACAGTTATTTTAATTTAGTGAACATTCCCTGTCTTTAAGACACAATAACACGCCGAATAAATACTAATTCAGAAGACAAACAACAAAAATCAGCGTTATATTTAAAAACTTCCACAGGACTAGTTTCGATGGTTTTACCGAACCACCATCCTCAGCTGCAAAACCGCAAATGAACAAGATAGGAAAAAATGATTAGATAAGATAAGAAAGCCTGGACAAGAATAAGCAAGTGGCGCCATCTGTTGGTGAAATCAGAACTAAAACATAGTTTCTTTAAATGCCGAAGGCAAATTTGGATTGGAATTAGGATCGTTAACTAGAACAGAAAGATTTTTATGAATGTGAAATGCCTCTAGAAAATCCAGTTCTCCAATGGAAGATATTTTTTGAATAATTTTGGCAGCAGAAAAATTGAAACTGTGATTTTTGGACCGACAATGTTGCGCAACAGAAGACTTCTGTGTTTCCTTTTTTCTAACATATGCCTCATGTTCCTTGACGCGAAATTTTAAGGCTCTCTTAGTTTGGCCAATGTAAATTAAACTACACTAGCAAGGAATCCTATAAATACCCCAGGAATTCATATCCGGAATGGGGTCCTTGAGTATGGAACTCGGAATTTTGTTGATGGGAGAATAAACAACCCGAAAGTTAAATTTCTGCAAAATATGTGCTACTTTATAGCTAATTGATGGAAAGAAAGGAATGACAACAGAATTTTTATAATCTCCTAAAACAAGAGTGTGCCTTTTAGTGTGTTGAGATGAGAATTTTTTAACTGCTTGATTAATAATGTTGGGTGAAAAGCCCCTGTCAATAGCTATTGCTTTTAAATAATTTAGTTCCTCATTAAGGGCTAGTTTGGAGGAGCAAACATGAAGAGCAACGAAAACATAGGAATGAAATGAAGCTAACTTTTGTTCAGTCGGATGACATGATTTAAAGTGTGGTGGAAGGCAAACCGATGAAGGTTTACGGTAAACCGTAGTACTGAAGTTGGATATGTTACGTGTGACCAGAATGTCGAGAAACGGAAGAGAATTGCAAGTCTCAAGTTCAAAAGTGAACTGAATAGCAGGATCAATAGAATTCATTGTTGAAAGAACTTTATTTAAATCATCTTTATTACCTTCAAACAGGGTAAAAGTATCGTCTACGTAGCGGAACCATGCCGGGAAGTTTAAAATTTCAAACAATTTTGATTCATAATAATGCATGTAGATATCAGCCAGGATGGGACTGAGGGGGCTTCCCATGGCTAATCCCTCAGTTTGCTTGTAATATTTATTTTGGACAACCAAAATGTGTTTGTTTCAAACAGAGTTGAGTGAGTGAGAGAATTAGCTCATCAATTTCGATGAAGAGAAATGAAATTCGCGAAGTCTGGTTTCTAGACATCTTAATGCACCCTCCACTGGGACATTGGTGAATAATGATTTTACATCAAAAGAAACCATGAGTAAATTACTAGGAGAAATGTTTTTAACCTTTTTTTTTACAAACTCTATTGAATTTTTTATGGTGTAAATGTTATTGTCTAATAGAGTGGAAAATCTAGAAACCAAATATTTAGCTAATGGATACGAGGCAGTACCTAAATTTGATACAATAGGGCGGAAAGGAATACCACTTTTATGAATTTTGGGAAGAGCATATAATCTGGCACAATTCGCAACAGATGGTATAAGCGAATGTTTTAAGTTGCTTGAAATGATTTGCGAAGATTTGATCGCAGTTTTTATTTTTGACAAGTCCGAAGGTGAAGGATCTTTAGGGATCGGATTATATGGTCCTTCGTTTAAGAGTTTAGTGACATCATCGATGTAAGTGTTCTTATCCATGACGACTATCTGGCCACCTTTGTCGGCCTTTGAAATGATAATATCCGCGTTAGAATGAATTTCGCAGTGTGGTTTAATTTACATTGACCAAACTAAGAGAGCCTTAAAATTTCGCGTCAAAGAACATGAGGCATATGTTAGAAAAAAGGAAACACAGAAGTCTTCTGTTGCGCAACATTGTTGGTCCGAAAATCACACTTTCAATTTTTCTGCTGCCAAAATTATTCAAAAAACATCTTCCATTGGAGAACTGGATTTTATAGAGGCATTTCACAT